TTTTTGCATTAAATAACAAACTGATCAAATTTCTCTTACATCCCTACTATATACTCTTTCACCCATCATTCCCAGAGTAACTTTGGAACTGTTTTTTAATGTTTAATGATGATGATGATGATGATGATGTTGTAAAAGAACAGTTGCATATACACACAGACTCTCATGTAGTTCCTGAACAAGCAAGTTTTATATTCTTTTTTCTGTCTTATGTTTCATGATGCAATAAATGCAGAAATCCTCTTGCAATAAAGTTTGCAGTGGGATTCACCCACTCTCACCCATTCTAAACCATGGAAGCCCAGAAATAGCAAGCAAAGAACGAACAAACAAGGCAGCACCATTTCCTATTTTACTTTGTGATATTAATGTTTTTACTGTGTATTGATAATGTTTGTGTGCTCTGGGCCATTTTACTGAGCCCCTCTGGGTTAACGTATTATCTGAATTGAAACAACCATGTGGCATGAATAAGTTTATCATTGGCTATTAAATGTGGAACCTTTATATGCAAGGGTAGTATTTTATTTATTGTTCTGCATTTACAGTATATCCCACATTTTCCTCTAGCGAGAAACCCAAGGTGGTTTACACATTCTTTTCCATTTTATGATGACAACAACTCTCTGAAGTAGGTTAGTCGAGGGTTGGCCCGGAGTTACTCAGTAAGCTTCAAGGCCCAACTGGGAAACAGAACCCAGATTTCCCAAGTCTAACCACTATAGCACCTTTATTGTTTTATATCACCCTTCATTCAGAGACAATAAAAAACTACTCTGTTTACCAACTTTTAAGTCCCATTTATTTCGAAGCATAGCTGAATCTGGGTCTAGTTCCTTACAATTCCAATTCACTAATATACCCAGCATATCTCCAGTAAAAAGATATTTGGCACAAATGAATAGGTGTCCTTGCCATATATGTGTGACCTTCCATAGGCTGGTGTGAAGAACAGAATCTGGACTACATGGTCCTCTCTCAGAACCAGCATGGCAGTTCTCTTCAAAATTCCCACTTATTTGCATATACAAAGAACAATGTGTACCACTGCTGTCATCAAATATACCCCATAGCTTTTGACTTTAACTATGATGTCAACACATTTATAGTTCAGCAACTTCCCCAGTCATTGGAGTTATGGAATGAGTAAGAGACAGCTGTTTGGAGTTGTTGACAGAAGAGCATCTGAGGTCACTGATAAAGCTGTGTAGCCTGAGAATTGTAGAAATATATCTTCAGAAGCTTACTATCTCATATTGGTATTAATTAGCCTAACCCCTAACAGATGTGTATGCAGTCTATCTTTAGAACTGGTCAGTTGTGCAAAATTTTAAAGCGTACTTTAAAAAAAAAATGCAAAAGCCCAAGTGCTAAACAGTGTATTGGAAGAATTCCCAGGCAAATGCCAGATAATGTGTTGGACCAGGAGACCTGGATTCAAGTTTCTATTAAGCTCTGATGCTCTCTTCAGAAGCTGTTATTTCTGTACCACCCTGCAAGAAGGATGACTTAAAGTTAACACTTTCCTGATCAAAAAATAGAAGCCACTTAACACAATGTTCTTCAGAGCGGTTTCCTGATTCTTACTGTTCAAACCATTAAGGACTATTTAACTCCTCTTCCAGATACTCTTTCATTCACTTGCTGCTCCCTTCAACAACCCTTGATAGATATCTGGGATAACCACTTCAAGATCCTATCCATCTGTCCATCCATCCAAATGGGAGAATAAAGCACAACACAATTATAAGCAACAACATTTATCTGCCGTTAGCCTACAAATACTGGTTGGCAGCCACACCTCTCACTTCCTACCAGCTCTCACCTTGGTGTAGTCCTACAATCCCTTCTCCAACTCTCACTTGAGAAGGTAAAGCTTGCCAGTCCTTCATGCCCTACAAATTTATGACCAGACACCCCTTCCAGTGCTTCTTTTCAGGGTACAAGCATTATAAGACTTCAGGGTGGCAGGTGAGAGGTGGGTGGATAGACTCCACCCCTGGATGCCAGTCCCTTTCTACCAAACACTCCTTCAGGCAACAAGCTTCTTCATCAAGTTCATTTTCATTCTGATTGCCTCTACAAGTAGCGCTGGTATGATGAACTAGGCTGGTTGGGATGCATAGAGTGGCTCGGAAGCAGAACTGATGACATCAAATCATTAAAGAGAAAGGGCAGATCATCTGCCACACTAATTTTATCCAACTGCTTAGATTGGAACATCTTGTAACAAAATGTATGTGTGTGTGAGTCAGTTACTGGACTGCACTAGATTCCAGTAAGGGGAACACGAGGTCCATTTCGAGAGGCACCTCATCTAAGAGCTTCCTTCACTCCTTGGGTGCAGCTTTGTCTTCCCTTATCTGTGGATAAATCCCACTGAATCCCCTTACTTGCATGTAAGAAGCTTGATTGACATGGAATGGAGAAAACATTTGCTCACCCACAGACAGGCACAGTTCCCTCTCACTGCCCCCACTTTTCTTTATTTTCCTCTTTTTAATTTATGATTGTTGAAGATGGTGAGTTAAGGGGCTGAGAACAGAAGGAGATATATTTATTTGAAGGATGTGTTATTTGTAACATTTTATGTAGCTATGAAATTTCTTGGCACTTCTAATGAAGTCTTAGTAACAAACACTCACAAAAGAGAGAACCAGCATCCCAAAATATGGGATTTTAGTGAATTCTAATTTATGCTGGATTAGTGAAAGGGACAGTTTCCCCTCAGTATCCAGGCAGCGGCAAAAGGTTGGCACTGGTATTACATGTATTTTATTTAATACATTGATGACTTAACATGGGTTAATCTTTAATATGCTTTTACACTGTACAGCTGAGACATCTACCTCTTCAATGACTTTGGGATCCATCAGGGTTTTGTCTTGTTTCCTGTGGTCTTTCATATTTTTATGAAGCCACTGGGAGAAATACTCCGGAAGTTTGTTCATGACCCACAGTGTTCTACCTCATATTACTGTCCATGAATCTAGGGAGACTGTGCCAGTCTTTAACAGATTTGGAAGTAGTTCTGGGACAGATGAGAGTTAACGAATTGAAGCCTTAATCCAGACAAGGCTCTTGGTGGGGAAATCTGCCCATCTGAGTGAAGGAGTGCAACTCCTTTTGGATGAGTCTTCATTCCCTTTGAAGGATCAGGTGTACAGCTCAGGAATGATTTTTACTTGTGGCACCAGTGGCCAAGAGTGCCTTTTGACTTTGCTTTGACTGATTTGCCAGCTGTGCTGCTATCTAAAGAAAAGCAGACTTTGCACTATTTATCTATGTATTGTTTCTATTCAGACTGAACTGCCGTAACACACTCTACATGGGGCTGCCTCTGAAGATGGTCTGGTAGATTCTGTTGGCATTGAACGCAGTTAACCAATTGCTTGTGGGAATCGGGGGCATGTAACATGGATTCTGTCCTAGTTGCCAGTGCACTTCTGGGCTCAATTTAAAACGCTAGTCGTTACCTCAAAGAACCTAAATGACTTGGGACCAGATTATCTGACAGATGCCTGCATTCATGTAATCCTACTGGGCCATTAAGATTGCCTCTGAGGCCCTGCTCTCAGGGCTGCTAATAAGATCCATCCGGCTGGCAGGCAGGAGAGAGAGAGAGAGAGAGTGCGCGCCTTATGAGCTGTGGTCCCATCACTGTAGGACTACTTGCTGTGGGAAATTCATCTGCTTTGTTATTGGACACTTTGAAGGTGCTTAAAGATCAGACTGTTTAAATCCACTTTTACTGATTAATTTGAAATTGGCTCCGATTCTTAAAATGAAAATTTTAATTTTTTCCTGTTATACTCTGGTATAAATCTGTTGGATACCCTGTAATAATTGACTGAGGCTCTTCTCTGCTGAAGGTGACTGGTTCTCGTTATAAAATGTTTTTCCTAGCAAGGCCCACTTGAGTTCCACTTAGTCATTGTATCAGCACCAGTTAAAGACTTCCTTCTATTTCCAGGCATTTGAAGGCATATGGTGTGCATCAGCCAAATTGTTTATAGTTGTCACTGACATTTTAGTTGCTTTGTGTGGTGATTATATTTTAGGGGATGTTTGTTTCGACTGGTTTAAATTTTGTATATTTTAATTCCATTAGAAATCACCCTGAGGTTTTTTCATTTTGGAGAAGGGTATAAGAAATAATAATAGTTATTATTTTTGTTAGTTTTAGATGATAGAATTTTTTATTATTTTATTGATTTTGTAAAATTTAAATCAATACATAAGAATGTTAATTTGTGAATTGTGTTCATGTATAAAACACTTTGAGAGGGTTATATAATAAGATGACTAATATATATTCCACCAAGTTGCACATTCAACAAACATCTTTTTTCTAAAACTCTCTGTGGAGACTATATTACCTTTGATTAATTACTCCACCTTGTACTCAAAAAAATGCTAACTGAACAAAGTTAGCAAGGGGGCATCTTCTTTCTTTGCTTGTCTCTTGATAACTCTCAGATGGGATAAGAGTGGCAAGACAGGTGGACTGAAAAGGGAACCCGTGTTAGATTTAGCTGTAGCTAGCACCATTCTGTCAGGCTGCACATCAGAGGGAAGTGAGCAGCGAGGCTATTCAGTTTCCTCCATCAGGAGAGGGACCAGGCAACTACCTGACAGCCATTCCATTATCCTGCCTGAGCTATTTCCTTTTCAGCTGGTTGTGTTCAGAACTGCACCCAAGTTTGCTTCCCCATCACTCCTCGTCGCTTACTTCTTGAACGTCCTCTCTTTTAGATTGTAAATCTGAGCACAGTGACTCAATATTGTAAGCAACTCTGGGAGCTCTTTTGGCTAAAGATGGCATAAAAATGCTTAAAAATAAATAAATGCTGAAATGCTAATAAATATGCTACAAAATAATGCATTAAAAAGAAAATATGAGTTAGGATACATCTGTGAATTGTCGACAAGATTTTCCTGAAATTCAGACCTTAATCTTCTTTTCCCTTTTCTCTTTCTTTCTGATGCCTTTTCTTTAGAGGGGCTTTTTCAGTGGTGCGACGCTGTGTCAAACTCTGCACCGGACATGAATATGCAGCAAAGATTATTAACACCAAGAAGCTCTCTGCAAGAGGTAGGCTCGGTTTTCTTCATCCAACAGGCTGGGTTTTCAAAGCTTCTGTTACAGGACAATTATCTGGTAGCAGGAGCGGCCCACTCCTGTGACAAGCCCTTGCTGTATCAATCAGGGGAGACGCAAGGTGCCACAGTGCTCAAAGAGGCCTGCTGGGGGTCAGGAGCATAATAGGTAAGAGGTCTATTGGAGAAGACACAGGGCTGCTATAGATAGTGAGCGCAGGGATCAATGCCAATCGGGGGGCTGGGCAAGCAGGTCGCAGAAAAGTTCTCAGGAATAGACATTCTCCCCTCCGTGCTATTTTTTAAGCTAGCTTGGAATTTTTCCTCACTGCAAGCAGATGGGGTAGGACAAACTATCCCAGAGCTTTTGTTCTTGGAGTCCTGAAATGTATGATGAGCTCAAAGGATGGGATATTTATACTTTACAGTTTAGAACAAACAGGTCGGTGATGGAAATTTAGGTGTGGAAGGGAATATCTGTGGGAATAATGAAGACAGAGAGACAGAAACTGAGTTTGCTGAAGCAGTGGCACTGTGAGTGATTATCTCTGGCCTTGTGATAGTAGAGCTGGGTAGAAAGTGAGGATGGGACTCATTAAGCCATGAAGTACTAATTTTAGAAAGTCTCTTAAGCCACGATGAAACACCTCCCAGTGAACTGTGAGCTGTTATACATGCTGTTGGAAAAAGAAAGTTGGGGCTTGAGAACCTAGGAGCAGCCTTACTATTAATTTAATTATTCAAGATGAGAATGGCGGTTGCTTTTCTGACAATCTGGGTTCTCTATGTGTGGACAATCTGTGCAGATTTTAGCACTAAACAAAATTAAACAAATGTCTAGGACTTATTTCTGGAAGTAGGCTCTTGTGACTGTGAATTTAGATTTTTCTGTTTGAGCAAAATGTGCACAGAATCTTGCAATGGAAGTGCCATGAATTGCTCACACTCGAGCAAGCCAAATCTCTCTATTTGTTTCAAGAACATAGGAAGCTGACTTGTACTGAATCAGACCACTCGTCAGTCTAGATGAGAATTGTGAATATAGACTAGCATCCAAGACTTCAGAAAAAGGCCTTTGCATGACCTACTTGGAAGATGCTCAGGGTTGAGACCTAGAGGTCTCTCTGTGTGCAAACCATGTGCTTCGCATAACTGGTAACAGCCTAAGAACTTGCGGGTATGATTTTACAATAATTGTGTTAGGAGTACAGTGGTACCTTGGCTCACAAACTTAATCCGTTCCACAACTCTGGTTGTGACCCAAATTGGTCGTGATCCAAGTCAAATTTCCCCAGAAGGTTCAGTGTAAATAAGGTTAATCCATTCTGTAACCATTTTTTTTTAAATCGCAAAAATTTGAAACAAAGTGACAAAAAACAACAAAGATTGCGGCCATCCCCCCCCCCCCCCCAAGCATGACCACAATTGCGCCTGTCTTCCCTGCGGTTGCGCTCGTGCAGGGAAGACGGGCATGATCGCGATTGCGATCATCACCCAATGTGGAGTTCGCAACCTGAGGCAATTTTTTCCTGAAATTTCTGTTCACAACCTGATTGGGTCGTGAACTGAGGCGTTGCTGGGCCGAGGTACCACTATATTGATTTTCAAATAATCATGCATAGGATTGGGCTGCATGTTTATTATTCCTAAAATCTGAAAACATGCACTTAGGGCTGCACCAATCCTCTCCTGGAATCTCAATACATTCCTTTTTCAGAATAGCCTATATTGTGTAGGATCCAATACTTTCATTCATTAATGTTTGATACACATCAATTCTTAATACTGAGTGGGGGCCAAAATGCATGTTTGCTTGGTCAGTTTCTAATTTGCTTCGTTCATAAGTTTTCATATGAATATGAAATCTCTTGTGTGCGATTTCGTGTGCCTCCCTTTATCACATCTGGCCAGTTCTTTTTATCACCTTGTTCATTGCTCCCATTTTGTTGAGTAAGGGAAAAGTGAAAAAACTCCCCGCTAGTCAGTAAGATGTTTTACATGGTTAGCATAGAGAAATACCAAGGAAAGAATTTAGGAGAGATTCTGCGATCTTGAACTATGAGGAGGCTATGCTTGGGATTTAGGGAGCTCCCTTGTGCTGGTTCCAGCACTTCTGGTTAAACTAGTTCCAAATTTTTGGGAAATGTTTGGAGCTTTTCTGTAATGATGGGAGTAAACAAAAGTTCTCTTCATGAAATAACATGAAGCTGCTCATAGTTTAGGAGAGATTCCATGGGTTTCTTGGCTGATATTGTACCATTTATTTATTTATTAAAACATTTTTTATGCCGCCCCATTCGCGGAAGCCTCGGGGCAGCTTACAACAATAAATTAAATAATTATAATTATAAATTAAAAATGTAAACATTAGAATAAAATACAAACATACAATATAAAATAAGCCGCCCTGGCCAGATAAAATTCAATAATATTAACATTTAAAATGCCGCTTAAATAAAAAGGTCTTCACCTGGTGCCGAAAAACAAATAACGACGGCGCCAGGTGGTCCATTTCAATATGCCTATAGTTCTGCAGACACCTCTATTGAATACAGTTGTGTCACATAACAGAGGTGGAGCTGTCAGCAAACTGGAGACATAATAGAGGTTCATACAATGGTGCTTGGTAAAAAGGAGCTAGTGGGAACTTTTTCTCCTTCTGCCAACATTAAAATTTTGGTTACCTAAAGAAATGGATCGGCATTCGCTATCCACAAGAATTTGAAGGCAAAAGAAGAAAAGAAAGATCAAACATAGATGGATTAACTGCGTAAAAGAAGCCACATCCTTGAATTTTCAAGAGCTGAGCAGGGCTGTCCTGGATAGGATATTTTGGAAGGCTTTCATAGAGTTGTCAAGCACCTCTATTGTATACCTGTTTGTCACCTCTGTTGGCAAATAGTGATGACCACATCCAGAAGAGTATCAGCTGGCTTGACTGCAGAAACATTAAAAACATCTTTTAGGGGGGAAGAACTCTAAGGGGAGAACCGTAAAACACTCCAATGAGGACTGACAACAGAATATTGAATGCCTGTTGGGAGAGATGGAAGACTAGGATGGGATGGACAGTTGCAAAATGTTGGGAAAGAAGGAATGGGATGGAATGCCTGGAATCCTGAGCAAGAAGCAGGGCATAGTGCAGTGTTTTGTTTCAAGTCCCACCTGTTGGTTTCTCTGGGAGACTCGCCTCATTGTTTCAGGTCAATGGCTAAAAGATACATTGGCGCAGAATCTAGGCAGTGTAACTAAATTGCTAATTAGTTTAGTGAGGTTTAGATGCAGGGAAGAGATTATGGAGAAGAGGTGATTAGAAAGTGACAGGACTCGGAAACGTTTAAAAGAAGCTCAAGGTTGTTACTGGGCTAAACTGTGAGAGCATGGAAGCCAGCAAGGGTCAAGTTAATGAGGCATACAAGCATTTAAGGAAGGGTGTTATGGCAATAGCAGAGAATAGCTGTAAGAGGCTGGTGGATAGAGGTGTAGGAATCACGCAGTGTTAATGCACTTAAGTCAGAGTGGGATGATGAGGCTGACAGTGAACTGTGTCCTGTAGTCAAATCCATATGGCCTATTCAGGCTCAGGGTAGAATGGGAAAAAGAAGGCCAAACCAGGTGTTTCACTCTTTCTGTTGGTTTCCCTTTTGGATCAAAGCAGGTGTATTGTATTCAGCTGGAGTGAATTAACTGTGAATTTTCCCTTGCGTACAGTAGAGTTTACTTCCCTCTCACCTTTCAGACTAGGAGCCTAATAACATGTTGCACTAATTATGTAGTATGCAATTGAGGGCCATCTTTTTATTTACTGTAGTGTAAATGTGCCTTACATGAGAGGATTAGGCCTTGCTTCCTGGAGTGGTGATGCCCATTGGGGTTGTGTGTGTAACTAATGGTAGACAGAGCCAACTAGAGTGAGTTCAAAGCAGAGGGCTGGGGGATGTCTCTAGTCCACAAAAGCATTCCTTTGAACTCACACTTCTCTTTTCTGATGCCAAGCAGTTGCTTAGAAAAGGGATGATGAGGCATGTAAATTAATTTCCACATCGGGCGTTCAGATTGCAGGATTTGGGAAGGTTAGCTGACCCAGCAGAACTACAACACCAAAGCAATCATGGGAGCACACAGTTCTCTGTTCTACCGGGAAGCCATCTGACCAAAACATAAAAATAAATGTTAACAAACCTGACAAGAGACTTTTAACATTCAAAGTGTGGGAGAGAAGTTTTACTCTGGTTTTCTGTTTTTATTTCATTCTTTTTTTCTTTCCTTTATCTCAGACTCAGGAATTCTTTGTGTGTGTGTGGGGGGGAGGTGTTGAGTCAAGACAGCGAACAGGAAGGAAACATGTTGTGTGCCCGTTGAGAACGCTCAGTTCCTATCTCCACAAAAGCTTGGCTAAGTTGTGATGCTTCATGTTAACTTTTTAAAAACAAGTCTAGAAAGTAAAGTTATATAAATGCTGAACAATTATAAGAGTCTTCCCTATTGCATTTTTGCTTCATATGAATATAGAGGAACTGAAGGTTACAACATACCCCATACACTAAGACATAATCAGCAATACTGTTTGAAAACTCAGCTATTTAAAGATACCAGAGAAATGCACAATGATTTATTTATTTATTTATTTATTTAAAATATTTCTATGCCGCCCTGTTTGCAAAAAGCCTCAGGACGGCTTATATAAGCTGTTATTGTAATTATAAAATTTCAACTCAAATCAGATAATTGAGAAGTGACAGCACTTAAGCATTCATATTATCGATAAAACGTGTGATAGCAAAAACCGTCTCCTGTATTAAAGAGATAGTTGATAATGTATTTTTTTAAAAATGGCATAAGTTGAGTGATTTTGTATTGGCTGAAGAAGTATTAAGGAATATTAATAATACGGCTCTAGGATAAAATAATGATGTAAAGGAAATGTGAGGTTAAATACGGTTTAAGAACACTATGTACATTTCATTACAGAAAGTTAAGAAGGTTTAATTGTAC